CGCGAGTCACGTTGCAATTGTTTTGCGTGTACATTTTATGCAATTTCGCCGGGTTCCAAAGTTTCGCGTCGGCGTTTGAAATGTTTGACACATCAGCGCGTCAATGAGCGTAGTAATCAAAGTGGATTCACACGCGGATTAATTAATCCAGAGCGATCGCGACACGATGATAAATGCGACACCGGGATATATGTTTCAGCGACAGACCCGACAATTCCCACAAGCCGTGAAGATCATATAATTAACCGTTCCACAAATATCATTTTAAATCACCAAGTAACGCGACAATTGTCAGGCGTAGAGCGATGAAATTATCGTTAGCGTTGCGCTTAGCGTCGCATTCTCCCCCGTCGGTCGCGACGCAGCGCAGCTCAACGCAATTTTCCGTTCCGTTCCGTAGGCGAGCAAGCGAGCAGGCAGCGTTCGAATTAAGGGGACGAAAAATGACGTCCCGAAGACCGACAAAGCGGCCGCGTAACGGCCGTTTATTAAATCCGCGTCTTAGCAACGACGCGGGGGTGGTTGAATCGCAGCGCGGCGGGGTAGACGTTGCATTATGTATACGATGCCTGGTTTGAGCAAATCACAGGGGGGCGTCGAGAGCGAGACGGAGAGCCGACGAGAAGGGCGTGGAGGGGGGGCAGGAGGAAGGAAGGGGGGGAGGAGGAGAAGAGAGGAGAGAGACGAAGAGCCGAATGAATACGATATTGTTACTATCCGGGTCGAGACCGCCGCGAATTTTGCCTCGTTCTTCCGTCATTCTTCGCATACTATGTCCGCGCTTCAATGCTGCCACGAATAACAGTTTGACTCGACCGTGGAATAAATTAGCCAGGGAATTCGAGCTTCCACGAGGCGGCGCGAGCGGAGGGGGCCGGGAGGTGCGTTGGCCTGGTGTCGGGGAAGGGGTTGGGAAGGGCGAGGGAGAGGGTGTGGGCGGATTGGGGACTGGAAGAAGAGGGACGTTTCGTGGTGTCAGAGAGCGGGGAAAGCGCTCGGAACGACGGTGGAAGAAAAAAAAAGGAGGGAGGGTGGAAGTAGGTAAAACACGGGCACGAGGTGCACGGGCTCGGATATCAAGAAACAGGGGTACTTTGCCCCTTAGGCGGTCCTTAATAATAAATTCATATCTCGGCCCCATCGCGCTCTCTTTCTCTCCCGGTCTCTCCCCCTTACTTTTTACTGCCACCAAGACGAGCTCCGCCGGCAACCGGAATCGTCGTCCTCGCTTCGCGGGCTTCGCGACGACTCCCGACGAGAGAAGCGTGTCCCGTCCGTGTCTCCTTCAGTCGGTCTACAAATCTCCTTTTTATGCCGCTTAATAAAACTTGTCCGACATATCTCTAACTACCGCCACTTAATTTCGACCGGGTCGACCTTTACCGTCTCTCGGACGAAACGCGCGCGCGGCCGAGGGTTTCGTTATTTCACCGTCGGCTGTCGGTGACTGTACCGAAGCGGGTTTGTTTGCTTCTCTCCTCTCGTTCTTTCCCTCCCACTCCCTCTTTCTCTCTGGACCGTCACGCGCCCCCCTTTGCCCAGCCTCGGCTGGACCTTTTCAAAGTTATTTCTCCGCTTCTCCTTTGGAGAAGCTCCGAGAAATTCGAATTCCTTTCTAGTCTGGCTTTTTCTTCGTGTTTTCATCTTCCCGCTTGTAGACGGAACAATGGAATGGTCACAATCGAATCAAAATCGGCGACTTCAAATGGACGAGAAAGCGCGCGTCTCTTTCTCTCCTTATTTATTTTGTTGTTTATTTTTCCACCCGGGATGAGAATATTAATTTACGATTCACGTAAAAATTTAGCTCATAGCTCCTCACGCGCCACGTCGCGCTCTGTCTCGCGCACGTTTCTTTAAAGATCCTTCTTGCGCGGAGCAGCGCGTTACATTTTCTTTTCACTTTCTCAATTTCGCCATGATAAGTGCTTTATGGTGTACGTTGAAAAAATGGAATGAGTTCCAAGCGGGGAGAGCGCGAGCGATAAACAGCTCGAGTGCATAGTATTAGCGATCGCGGACGTAAGTTCATTTTGCCGCTTTCACGTGTATGGAATAAATAGCAATTACACGTCTCGGAGCGGAATATATGCGATGCTCGTACACGACTCCGCAACGCATTCGATTATGGGACGTGACTCTTAGCGCACTTAATCCCGCGTCCCTTTCGGGGACACCAATAATTCAGTATTAGCGACATGCCGATAGCCCAACGAATCGTCCGATCGAAATGCAGGATTTAGTCAGTTTTGCGAACGCATGCAAACGCCTTTCGCAATGAATCATCGCGTTGCCGTTGCGCGTCACGCTGTGGTAAATGTTGCCTTTAATTCGGTCAGGGCGCGCGACCGAAAAAGCATTTTTCCAGAAAGATGTTTCACGCCAGAATAAAAAACGGCACATCTGAACGACTGCAGCCTCGTTTACGCAGCCACTCGGGCGATATTCGTGCGATTTATGTTCCACAGCCGCATGTCTCGACGATGTTGCATAATTTATGAATATTATCAATTACGACTCGAAGATAAGCGGAAATTTTTGCAACTTGAAAGATACTTTTCAAGCATATTAATTTCCTTCCTCGCGTTGATCATTTGGAAAGCGACTCTCTGCTGTGTGTAATTCTTTTACAAATATCGGAGCAAAAAATTGTTAGGGCCATCTTCATGAAACATAAAGCCCCGATAAGGATGAAAGTAGGACGCCCTACAAAGGGATGCCTCATTGTTACTACATCAGGCTCCGAGATGGATCTTTTAGGGATACTTTAGATTTTACAAAATAAGGCTTTGATAAGGAAAATCTGACGAGGGCCTTAGAAGGATTTATTAGAGGTGCCTTAGATTTTGCGAAATAACGCTTTAACTGATGGAAAACTGATGTGTGCCTTGGAAGGATCTTTTAAGGATGCTTTAGATACACAAAATCAAATCTTGTTAAAGAAAATTAATAAAACCTGAAGCATGTAATAAAATTGTCATAATTTAGTATTGTTTTAGTAGGTACGTTGTACCTGGTTCTTTTAAAGATTTTTTAATTATACTGCAATTAAAAACAAATTTTACTAGTTTTATTAGTTGCGATATTTATTAATCTTTTCTAAGTATTTTTCTAGTATTGCCTTCATTTTGAAACACAGCAAACTTTAATGAAAACAGTAGCAGGACTTTGATGTGTAAAGAATACTGTTTTATTGTAAAGTATGCTACATATTTAGGATAAAAAATTCTTGTATATACTAACAAGGTTATAAAGAAATAAAGAAATTACAGTCTCTAAATTTGTTGGGATAAAAAAAATGAATATTTTTACTCAAGCAATAATAAAAATATTTCCTTATATAAGACTCTATTCACATATTGCCTTGTTCACATAAAGCCCTGTTGATATTGCTTTATGAGATCCTTATAATATTGCCTTACAAGGATCCATTAAACCGTTTGTTACACATCTTGTAGAGCCTTTGTTTTTCTATGCCTATTAGGGTCCGATGAATGTTAGGGAAAAATAATTAGGTCCTTACCAGAGAGCCATATTAATTTTTCTACTCGGGTTTGAGAATTGGGATACTCAAGAATGGCCAATTTGTTGGATATAATTACACACGTGCGCGCATGCACACGGTGCACACCTGACGACGCATAGCGAAACGGAAGACAGATGAACGGGACAAGTTGACTGCAAAATAGATGGCATCGCGTCCGACGGACAGTCGCTTTCGTTTTTTTCTCTCCTATCGGGTCAGGCAAGGTTTACTCTTCGCCACCTCCTCTCTTGTCGGTAGTCTTTTATGCTAAACTAAACGCTCGCATTCATTTGAATGTCACTAATGCGAAAGACCGATCCGTACTAATGGAGTGATCTCCCCATATTCGTTCTCGCGATTCTATTCGCTCGCTCTATGTCCCTGACTCGTCCTCTTCCCTGGAATTCCGGGAAAGTACGTCGATATATCGTCGATATATTTTTCTGATCTGCAGCGAGACGAGAGTCCGATGCACGTTGAACCGGCTGGAATATTTGCGACGTAAATTTCGAGTTATTTCGAGTGTTGTTTGCGAAGCCAGAAATTCTCGAGAGAGTTTCGAATGTTTCCAAACTTTTTAAAGCTCAATTATCGTAATGATATATAATCATATATATGCGTCATCATGTGCACAGCTCTACATGTAGTCTGCTGCATTTGTCGGCAGTACGTAGGCGTTTGAGAATTTCGAGACTCTCCACTTCCGCGGAGTGTTAAAACAAGAAATTCGAATCTCGCGACGCATGAATACGTCGTGAAATTATAAATCAAGAGAAGAAACAACGTTGTCCTCCGCTTTGTCCTCCGCGTTGAGAATCGGTCGCGTTTGATTCTTTCGACTTATTTCTATGGCACGCGCTGCCGAGGCTGCACACTCGGCGAAACGTGACGTAAATTTAAATAAATCTACGTTCGGCAAACGCACCAGCCACTCAGATGTATCGTCGTGTGTGCGCGAAGGGTACTACTTCTCGTTGTCTCGGGCAGAAAAGTGTCTCGCGTGCGAGGAGACAAGCGGAAAGATATCTAAACCTGCGAGGCGACAGGCAGCAGCGGGACTGCACACGCGGGTCGCGTTTAATTGCAGCCAACAGTGTTGCAATTTAATTCAAGACGAGTGCCGTCGCGAATCGCGATCTGTCGGCAAATATTAGACGGAGGTAATTAACGTGGGTATATTTGGTCTATGAGAAAGATCGTCACACACGCGCGCCGCGGAGTTAACCGCGTCAAACCGCGCTCGCGCTCGACGCGCGTCGTCGCTCGAAGAAACCACGGTGTATCCCGTCAATGGGTGTGCCGTAGAAATTACGTAGTTCGTTGAGACCCGACATCTTCGTCGAGTTCGTAAACAAGCGGGGAATGACAGCGCGACGTTAAACGCGCCAAACAGCTCAGCGACGAACCGTCATTACCTCGGTAAACGCCACCGCGGGTAGCTGCGGGGCGCGTGTAAGCAAAACGAGACACTTACTGTACAGGCGAATCGTCCCGTCGGTCTCCCCGCGTGGATTCTTGGCGATGCACTTGTAACTACCGTAGTCCTCTTTCTGAAAGAAAAAGAAACGGCGAGGGTGAGTCGCGCTGAGACGTTCGACTCGGCCGATCGTAATTGCGTATCATTCTCCTTGTTTACCGTCCGGCGAGCGGCGAGAATATTGAAGCAACATTTTTTCAGCCGACGTCCCGATCGATGCACGGCAATTTCAGCCGGTTGGAACAATTTATCGCGAGCTTGGTGTATACCAGTAAACAGTCGCGTCGGAGCGTTAGCGTTGTTTAATGTTTAATATTGCGTCTTGCAGGACTCACTAATCGTCGTCGTTTAATCAAGTGATAGTGAATGAAATCGGCGTAAATATCGCCGCACAAACAATCGTATCGTCCAATCCCGTCTCTCGGTAATATCCCGAACGAGTAGCTGAGTGCGTCCATCATCACCGTCGCACTGTCGCGCGACGATAGTGATTTACGAGACGGCGTTATCACACTCAGCCGCAAATTTTAAAGCTGCGCGCGGAATTAAGTCTTACGCTGCTTTTTTTCTTTCACAGCGACTATATATAGCGCGTCTCCCTCTTCGTTATCGCGCGATTGTTGAGCGGCAACTTTCACGGATGCATAACGCGACGTTAGCGGATTCAGCCCGCTCGATTTTTCTTCCGCTCGTTCCACCGTTTTGTGAGCGTTTGCTCACTGTGGGCGAAAGGAGCAATTTCATTCTCGCGTTCCCCGAGCGAAACTGTTTCATATTACAAACGCAGATACGTCGTCGGACTTTCCGTTTTTTGCCTCCTCTTTTTTTTTTTTTTTATTTCGAGAACAGCGCATTCCGACAGCAACCGTCGATCCCCGTAGATGGGGTGGGGGGGATGGGGGGGTATGCATGAAGAGACATTCGCTCACCTGTATGTCGAATATCGTGAGCGTCATGTGCATTTTGTAGGACGGTCTGTCGGGCGACGACGTAGCTTTGTATTTGCTGCTCTCGTGAATCATTAGGCCGTCCTCCCTCGCCCAGTAATTCAAAGAAGTTGGATGAGCCTCGGTGTAGCATTCCAGTGTAACGGAGTAACCCAAGGGCGCGCCGACCAATTGGTGCGGTATCCAGAGCATAGGGGGGACTGCAACAGCAGAAGTGATTGATTGGCTCATAAATGTTCCAATTACTAACAATACACGATGGGCCTACGATCGATATCCCTTCCGCGCGTCTATAAATCTCGGAGCCCGGCTCTCGCCGTGCTCGTTGCGCGAGCATGAGCGAGCGAGCGAGTGAGCGTGCCAGTGCGCCAACGTGAAGAATGATCCGAGACAATCGCGAGCTTTTCCGACAACTCGGTTTTGGAATGTAATTGGACGAATCATTGCGAGATGGGATCCGGGTTCATTGTCGATTCGGGATTCACGGGAACGCGTTTCAGTGTGAAAGTCGTAACGATTAAAGCCCACAAGAGAGGAAGAGAGAGAGAGAGAGAGAGAGAGAGAGAGAGAGTGAGTGAGAGAGAGAGAGAGAGAGAGAGAGAGAGAGAGAGAGAGAGAGAGAGAGAGAGAGATCTTTCACTCGCTCGCGTTTGTAGAAAACACATAAAATACGAAAACTATTTTTCGTAATTTAGAGCGAGCTTATTGCTAAATTAATGTAATGACATGCATACATACACATATTATCGGGGTCTTGTGATTATAATTAGAAGAGGACTCTTTAAAAAAAATTTTGTTTCGCAATCATGGCGGGATCGAAACTTTTCGTTTTCGCGGATCGATTACGAAGCCAAGTATTCTTCGAAGTTTTATATAATCGTGGCATTGGCGAGAGAGAGGGGCTGGGCTTAATTTTTGCTATATGCCGTGAAACTTAAATGCGTATCACGCGACCCTTTAATAAAAAAGTAATCCTATTTCGATGAACAGCCCCTGACGTTGTTGTCGGCGACGGTGATAACGTTTCGTCCTCTGAGGTAAGGGCGCTTCAATTTAACTTAAACCTCCTAAGAATATACCTACCTACCCATTTTCTCGCAGCGTGCCGCAATGTTCGCGAGGAGAGTATCGCGCAAAACAAGCCGGTTGACAAATGACTGAATGCGAGCAATAAAAGTATCAAGATGGAACGAATAACTGCGTTCGTTAAATTTTTCTCAAAGAAGATTGTCGAAGCAAAATTGTCTGCGACAAAAAGCGGTCAATGAATAAAATTGTTTCGACGTGAAAAATTGGACTCACGGTGTCACAATGAAAGAGAGTGGACGCCGAAAATGTCGTAGATATAAGTGGTTTTAGAATTTAAATAGTATCCTTCCTTGAATGGAGTTTCTCTCGAGTTGGAGTAGGTGACTCCGCAAATTCCATGGAGAATTAAATGCTCTCTTTTTTCGCTATCAAAAATACTTGAGGATTCGTTTTCTCGAACGAGAGACACTTTTGCAAGCAATGAATGGGCAGGAACTAAGTTTTACCGGTAAATTGCATTTTCGGAATGACACGGCTCAATTATCGGTGAAATAAAATCTTTGGTCGTCTTCTCTTGTAGTAGGTGTCTGTCTCGCGATTTACGAGGTGCGCAGTCGAGCGGTCAGATAAAACCGTTTGAAACCAAAACATTTTTATCACGCTGCTCTTCTCCTCCTAACCTAGCAATATTATATGAGTTATTTACCAGGAGATTCGAATCTACTCGAAAAGATTCCGGCGTGATTTATCGACTTGACGTACATATATATATTTTTATTGCGCGACAAAATGAAATTTTGGGAATATATTCTCGAAGAGAATATATATATATATATATTCGACGAAAAAGAGAGAAAAGGACGCTTTTCTAACGGCATTCGCACAAAAGGGGAAAACAGAGTTCGTCGACTTCTGGATACTGTAACGATCGAGTTTGCTCTCGTTTCATCTGGGATCTTCTTTAAGCAAGAGTCTCGGTAAACGACGACTCGATTAAACGCGATTGTCCTTCGAGTCCTCTAGAAAATGACTACACAGGAGCTGGACCGATCCGTTTCCCGACGACTGTTTTTCGATTCCTTCATTCACTCGCGGTGAATCTCCCGAATGTTCGTCGCCATAATCGTTTTTTAAACCCATTCTTGAACAACATTATCCTCTTTCACGTCGTCATCTCTATTATTCATTCCATTATGCCTAATTGTACGTTATTTAATGCACATAAAGATTGCATACTTGTTTATATAAAACCAAATCTAACTAGAAAGGAAAGCATATCCGATTAATTTATTTCACATATTTCGTGATTTTTGCTGATTCGAACGCGTGGATTCGGAATAAGATTTATTCGTGTTAATTGCTTATGCAATACACTTCGATGTGCTCGATATTTTTAATCAAATATTTATCTCATATATTTCTCTCATATTTAAGCTTTATCAGGCAAAATTTTATAACAATTGTTAATATACTGCATATGTTTTTTGTGCCACATATAAAAGGAATGATTTATAATAACACTAAATATTTAAATATTTTTGTGTATCAGGGAATTGTAGAAATTGAGGTTTATTTACTCTCCGTATTTATTAAAAAGATAGCTGAATTTTGCCGAGTATTGTTTTCAATCGAAATTTTCAGTTTAGGGATGGCTATATACATATACAGCAA